GTAGCATCCTTTTGAGTTCCTGCCAACTGGAACTGGAGCTGTACTGTGAATACACACTGAAGCCCGATTCGACTAGAATAGCAATAGAAAAATATAACAACCTAAAATAATAAAGTAACTCCTTTGCTGGTAACCAGCAATGTGCCAGCAGACTAATGGCTCAGGAAGCCAAAATTAGCTAGTAGTCTTGAGTGATTACGGCTAAATCAGCTACTTTGTTGACATTATTTAGAGAACAAATGAAAATATGCAGACACTTTGCAAATCACAGCAACATCCTTGCTTCGATCAGAACAGTTTGCATGTTTGCTATGTTTCAGTTCAACTGTGCTTCAAATCTACATCACTGATGAAATTACCTCTTTATTTTCTTCAAGGCGCAGCAATAAAATACATTATTACTACTACTACTAATACTACCATAGTTATTTTTAGGGGTGATGTAGCCAGTCGCCAGCCACATAAAATGTGATTTGGCAGAACAACAATGTCAACTCAATCATTGTGTTCAAGATATTGGAGCAGTATGGAAGCTACTGGAAAGTAGTTCCTATTCCTATGTATTTTTAATGGATTAATTCCAAGTTTACCAGAACACACAGGTTGACATGTATATGTAGTACAATATTATTTTTGTTTAATTTACAAACGCAAAACAAAAATGACTGACTGTACCTTTAAGTAAAATATAAGATCCTTGTATTCATTATGTGAGTGCAGATCAAACAAATTCAAACAATCTGTCTTCATTAATGCCTGAAGGTGGCTAAGAAATATGTAGGTTTCTACTTAAGACGCAGAAAATGCTCTAACCACTTCCAATTTCTTCAGGCACCTGTACACTTTACCCTCGGAGAAAGGTAAAATTACAGAGGGAAAGAGGGGGAAGTGATGGCAGCATGGTAAAGTATGGAGGAAAGAGCAAAAGGAGTGAAGGACCTTGTTAAAAGCCCCTCTGTGACAGCCAAGGAAAGGCTGCAGCTCAAAGTCATTACATGTCGCTGAAGCTGTGGAGAGTGACTGAAAAAGAGAGTTGTATGGACTGAAGAGGGGTTTCAGAGGTTGGTACCACGCAACAAGCAGAAGGGTGCAAGTATGGAAAAAGAAAAAAATGGAGATCAAATAGCAGGTAAGCGAAAGAAGAAATGAAGGAGAAGAAATCAGAAATTAAACTAAACTGTGTTGTTTGACCTGCACTTATTAATCTTCATGAGGATACTGGAATTTTTTATCATTTGGTTATTTGATAAGTAGAGTTTAAGCAATATAAAACAACAAAAATTAGGCTAAAGCTATACAGTAGTATCTATAGTGTCATCAAGGTTTCTGTAATTTATATGTAATTAATAATAATATGTATTTTACTGTATTTATTTATTAAGGATTTCTCCTATTACATTTGTAATATGTTGCTGTCAAAATACCACAGCCTTCCTGATGTTCATTTTTCATTATTTGCTGCTTTTTTAGTTTAAATATATATTTTTATTTTTGAATAAATCCTTTATCATGAGAAATTATGAATCTGTGGCACTCTATTCTCCTGTCTCTTTCATCTCTTTCCCCTCACACCCAACTGGTCATAACATGCGGCTGATATTCCCTGAGCCTGCTTGTAGTGGAGGTTTTCTTCACACTGTCGCCAAGCGCTTCCTCATAGGTGGTTCCAGTTCCTATATAGTCTAATATTTGCAGTCCCTGCCTTATAGTATAAAACGTGAACTGTGAATTGGTGATATAAAAATTAAATCAAATCTCAACTTCTTCCCTTTCAAACATTTTCATTTTCTTCATCTATTTGATATGTAGGTGCTCAGCCCCACCTACACAGCAAACTACCAGGACTGTTTGACCACTGAAGCATCAGAAATATTTATCTCATTAAATCTTCAATCATTCAGTCCTTGTCTAATTTCAGTCACGGATCCCGAGTCTGGCAAATGGCACAAATGAATTATTCAACAGCTGAAGGAGCCTATCAGAGAACCTAACTCCTCTGTTGTTTAGAGGCTATCTTAGATAGTGGTGTAACTCCAACAGTCACAACCCGTTTAATGAATAAGAGTCTAGATAAAATAGCTTATCAGTCTTTACATGTGGAAAATGCTTTTTGGCGCTTTAAATCTCCATGCACCACTTGAGGTTTAAGAAAACATCTGGTCAGATTTCACTGCAGGAGAGTAGAGCAAATACAATTCAAAAAACGTTCACCTCTCAGAGACACGTCTCACACTCTGACATATTAAAAATATTCTCCAGGTAATGTATTCCTCTACCAGCAGGTTTTCCTGTGGTGTCACTCAGGTGGGACCTCAGTGTTGGTTTTAGAGTGCCATTTAATGATCTTTAATAGAACTTAACAGCTTGTGTCCCACGTTTCTCCATTGCTTCCTATATGACAGGCCGTAAAATCCTCCTCGCTGTCAAATTACTCGGAAAAGAAGATGAGAAATGTTCTGTGCGGTATGTTAGTTTAAGAGTAAATGCATTAGTGTCTGAGATTTCAATAGCAGGAATTGCTTCGAAAAAGATATAAGTAAATTTTACACTCAGTTTAACTGTTTCTACTGTTCCGCGCAGTCTGATGAAGTTGCATTTCGTCTCCCTATTTCAGATTAAAGCACTCCTTTTAATCTGTGAACACCTTGACAAAGATGGAGTCATCCTTGCAAACTTTTGAGTGTTTCAAAGTCACGCTCTCTTAGAGTAAATCTAAAGCTACAGTGTCTGGGGAACAAAAACACTGCAGGGAGAGGACTCTCATTTGGCTTCAGTTCTCCTAGGGTTGCCATGTTCCCCAGGCTGATGGATGAAGGGAGAAACTCATCTCATGACTAATTATTTATCTTCCCTCCAGTAGTGTTGTGTCTGGGGGTTGAAAATAATACAACCCTCAGGTCTGACCAAGCAGTAAACAAACTAGAATGATGGAGTTAATAGAGTGTCTTCTTTCTTCCCTCTCTTGAGCATTGCTGCTGTACATAAAGCCTATAGACAACATGGCAAATTTTATTTATCTTTTTTTTTTAATCTGTTTACCTATTGTTCTGTTTCTTTTTTCTGTAACGTGTTGTTAGAATGGCAGTTGCTCATTTTCTTTGTAGCCTAATGGCCGATCCACACTACTCTACAGGCTCCGTTTTTTTCTAGTTTTGGTTCTCTGTGGTGTCAGTGAGGGGATGTGTTTTCATCTGAGGTACCAAGCTCTAGATGCTAGGACAGCAAAACTGTTGTCCAAGTCTTTTGATTGTGAAGGACAGCCAAAGAGAAGAGAGCTGCCTGAAATGTAGAGGAGTTCAAATGGTTTGATTCACATCGAAGCTGAACACAGAGCCTGCACCAAAGCCCAGTAAAAGCTAAATAAGCCTTATTTTGAGCTGTGATTCACAAAAGGTTCTCTGCCAGTCCAAGATAAAAGAAAAAAATGGAGCTGATCATGGGTGGTCATAGTAGGTCTATTTTGAAAAGAGTGCTACTTTATATGAATGGGTTTATGGTGACTTTTTGGGGCGGGGTATGGAAACAATGTTATCTTAAATAATAATTAATTTTATTTAAACCTTTCCTATCTGTGGTTTCAAATTCAAAATAGTGTTAAGATTACACACTGAGTACAGCTCACTACTCCATTTTGTGTTATTGAAGTAAACAACAACAGCCTAATTTGGAAAAGATTATGGAGCAGATTATGCTCCTCGCTGCTTGATGCAGCCATGATGCAATAGATCAGATTTACAAATCCCCCTAACTGGAATCAAGTCGTGGCTTGTTGGTGTAACAAACTTAGAATTTTGTGCAAATTGCTGCAAAATTATTGCACAAAGGTTACCATTACAACATATGCTGTGCATCTGGAGGGAGACACATTGAGCACTTGTGGACACTGTTTTGTGTCTAACACTTCATATATTGCCATGTATTTTAACAATTACTGCCAGCTTCTTTGTCCATTACTTTAAAAAGTATAGCCTTTTGGAATTGGAAGCTTCTTTTTGATACACCATTTATGGTTTTAGTTTGTTTGTTTTTTAGTGTCATGTTCTGTAATAGCACAGCAGTACTCCAGCATTAAGTCAGTATTACAGTTTTTGTCTTGGACTCTAGGGTGTGCTGTAGAGGCAAGGCCTTTACTTTGGATTTACACTGAGTTCAAAACGGGGCAGACACCTTGCAAGAGGGATTCAATTCTAATAGGGAGGTCTGTGTGATCAAACATTCAGCTCATGTGATCTGTTATTAATGCCTTCAATGTTAGAGCCACATGAGTCGGGTGGGAGGTGGAGGTTTTGGGGGCAATGGGGATAATGGGGAAGAAACAAAAGAAGGGAGGAAAAGACTTTGACTCTCATCCTGTGATGAACTGGTCACTGGATCATGCAGAGGAAGCTAAGGTGCTGGGTCCTAGAGTTTCACTCAGCCCCCGATCAAAGGAAACACTGGATGATTCAAATGTCATTTAAATGTTTTATGGTAGTCAGGGCATTGAGTCGAGGCTTGAATAAGACGAGACTCAAGGCAGCTCTAAGTCAGATAAGACGATCGTAATAGGTACGTGTGAGTGTGTGTGTGTGTCAGTATATATCATTCTCCATTCTGACCTCACATTCATTTTGCTAGTGTCCATAATTCTCCTGATTGTTTAGTCAGTCTAAACCCCTTTTAATTACACTGCACACTGGTAGTCAGTCACTGAATTCATTATCAGCTGCTGAAGCTGCACCATGTGCTCACATCTACACAGAAAAGACTCACAAATACACAACCGTGAACACGTTAACAGGATATGAGAGAGATGACGCATGCAGCGTACGCCCACATCATGCGCCCACATAGCTAAGTACACACCTATCTAAATATCTTACTAGTATGCCAAACAGAATAAAAGCTGATTATTTGTACCACTAAAAACAGAAGTACAAGGGATTTATATATTTATATATATATATATATTTATATGCTCTCTATATTTGTGCGCACAATGGGTTAACTTGTCGCAAGAAGATGAGGAAATGGGAGTGGCCTCAGAGTGACCTGTGAAAGAGAAACTAAAAGGAAAAAAAGAGCTGCACAGTTTTAACGGTCTTTTATGCTGCTGGAAGTCGAGTAAAGTCTTGATACAACAGGTAATTTTGCAATTTTTTTTAAGTTTCCAAGTTTCTTGTCTTTTGGTCGTATCTTATAGGTTAGGCAGGTGGTCAGATAGTTAGGAAAACATTTTAAAGACAAACAATTTCTTGGTAATCTCACAGTTAATATTGAAACTCTACTGACTTTCACTATCTTTCCTTCTAGACATGGCCTCTCCTGCAAGTCTAATAGCTGAGGAGAATTTTCATTGTTCCATCTGTCTGAGTGTGTTCAGTAAACCGGTGTCAACTCCCTGTGGGCACAATTTCTGTATTGATTGTATCACAGGCTACTGGGACACCTCAAATCCATTAATATCATGTCCGTTGTGCAAAGAGGAGTTTAACATCAGACCAAAGCTTCGGGTTAATCATTTCATAGCCGAAATGGCAGCAAAGTTCGTGAAATCAGTTCAAGAAAAGTCTGTTAATATCACAGAAGAATCAGGAAATGGAAATGTGCTCTGCACGCTTTGCACCGGGGCGAGGCGCCCAGCCCTGCAGTCCTGTTTAGTGTGTATGATGTCCTATTGTCAAATACATCTCGAGCCTCATCAGAAACTTTTGGCCTTAAAAAAACACAAGCTTATTCACCCGGTTGAAAACCTGGAGAGCAGGATCTGCAAAGATCACGGTGAACCTTTAGATTTGTTTTGCAGCGTGGATCAAATGTTTCTCTGTGATTCCTGCAAAGACAGGGACCATAAACAGCATAAGATAGTGACTCTAGAGGAGGAGGCTCTAATGAGGAAAGACCAGCTGGAATCAGAAAAAAAAGACGCGAATAAGATGATCGATGAACGTCAGCAGAAAATTTGGGAAATTGAACGCTCACTGGAGGCTAACAAAAATAATGCAGCGAAGGCACTGTCATGCAGTGAACATGTCATGACTGCTATGGTGGAGTACATTAAAAGAGGCCAAGCTGAGCTAGCGGATGTAATTGAGACAAAGCAGAGAAAAAAGCAAGCAGAGGCAGACGGCTTAATTAATGAACTGAAGGGTGAAATTATGCAAATAACCCAGAAAAGCCAGCAGCTTGACAACATTTCAGTCACAGACGACCCCTTCAGATTCCTTGAAAGTTACCTTTCACTTACCATCATTCCACCTCAAGTAAAGGACTGGTCTGATGTGACTCTTAGCTGCGACCCGTTTAAAATGCAGGAAGTTATGGCCTCGCTGGAGGCAACAGTCACAAGAGAAATAAGGATGCTCTGTGATCCCAACTTTAAAGAAGTCAGGCGGCACGCTGTGGAACTGACACTGGATCCTGACACAGCAAACTCTTATCTCTATATTTCTGAAGATGGGAAGCAAGTCACATGGGGAACCCAAAGGAAGCGTGTCCCAAAGAACCCAGAGAGGTTTGATTGTGTTCACAATGTCTTGGCAAGAGAAGGTTTCGCCTCAGGAAGATTTTACTATGAGGTTCAAGTAAAAGACAAAACACAGTGGGACTTAGGAGTTGCAAAGCAATCCATCAACAGGAGGGGGGACATAAGACTGAGTCCAAAGAATGGATACTGGACAATTTGGCTGAGAAAGGGAAACGAGTTCACAGCCAATACAGACCCTCCTGTAATTCTTCATGTGACGGAGGTACCTGAAAAGATCGGGGTGTTTGTTGATTATGAGGACGGTCAGGTTTCCTTTTATGATGTGGACACGAGGGCTAGCATCTTCTCCTTTACTGGATGTAACTTCAAAGAGAAGATCTTTCCCTTCTTCAGTCCGTGTGCTACTAATGGGGCTGAAAACTCAGCCCCGCTGATCATCACTCCTGTCAGAAACAACAAGTGAGGTTTGAAGGGGTTGACATGGTGAGTTGGACTTGCCGAGTGATTCCAACACTATTTTCCCCCCTCTAAAACTGCAGCCTGTCATTTTGTTTCTTCCCTCCATCGCTGTCAGCACTGTGTGTCATAATGTGTCACCTGGAAGACAGACAACTTCATGTCTATGCAGTCCCTAAGACATTCCCTATCTGCTGCCCTCTGTGCAAAAGTGATACTCTGAAGCGTTTCAGGGTTAAATAAATGGTCTTTATGAGCCAAAGTGGCTGTAGCAGTGTAAGGGGTACTGTAAAGTAATGTGTTCAGAATTTTTTTCAGGCATGTTACATCTGTTGCATCTAAATTTTGGGGTCATGACTTAACACGACTTTCTCCTGTTTTGGCTTCCCTTCATTGGCTTCCTGTTAAATCCAGAATTCAAAATCCTGCTCCTCACATACAAGGTCTTAAATAATCAGGCCCCATCTTATCTTAATGACCTTGTAGTACCATATCACCCTATTAGAGCGCTTCGCTCTCGCTCTGCAGGCCTACTTGTTGTTCCTAGAGTATTTAAAAGTAGAATGGGAGGCAGAGCCTTCAGTTTTCAGGCCCCTCTTCTGTGGAACCAGCTTCCAGTTTGGATTCAGGAGACAGACAATATCTCTACTTTCAAGATTAGGCTTCAAACTTTCCTTTTTGCTAAAGCATATAGTTAGGGCTGGACCAGGTGACCCTGAATCCTCCCTTAGTTATGCTGCAATAGACGTAGGCTGCCGGGGATTCCCATGATGCACTGGGTGTTTCCTTTCCAGTCACCTTTCTCACTCACGATGTATTAACAGACCTCTCTGCATTGAATCATATCTGTTATTAACCTCTGTCTCTCTTCCACAGCATGTCTTCATCCTGTCTTCCTTCTCTCACCCCAACCAATCACAGCAGATGGCCCCGCCCCTCCCTGAGCCTGGTTCTGCCGGTTTCTTCCTGTTAAAAGGGAGTTTTTCCTTCCCACTGTCACCAAAGTGCTGCTCATAGGGGGTCATATGATTGTTTGGTTTTTCTCTGTATCTATGAAGCGCCTTGAGGCGACTTTTGTTGTGATTTGGCGCTATATAAATAAAATTGAATTGAATTGAATTGAATTGAATTGAACAATAGCATACAAAATCCATTGAAATAAAATGATGGTCAGTTTCTCTCACATGATGCTAGATAATAATGAATTTCTCCATCGATTAATGTCAGTGAATTAAGATGTAAACTTTCAGCAGAACACACAAGGTGCAGCTCTGCAAAAGCTGCTTAGAGAGAGTTTAAAATGTAAAATGTGAGCAAATGAAATGTATAAATTAGTCTGTTTTCTCTTATTGCTTTAAAAACTTGTTTGTTTGTTTTTTAATCACAGTTTATAAATGTGTATTTTCTATACTACGTTGCCATAATGTCTATAGTCTGGCCACTAAAGAGGTTTACTGTAGGAGAGATCAATCAATTCACCTTCTGGATGGACTGTTTGACTGCTTGTTAATGTTGAATTTTAACTTTATGTCTATGTATTTCTTGAAGCACCAACTTGATACACATTTAATAATTGATCCCAAAACATTATATAAAATATTTAATGATCAACTGACTGATTGATGACTGATTTTTGAACAGTTGTTGAATATGTCACTTTAAATTCTTTTGCCTTTTGTCATTCCTTTAATGATTAGATATTACATGTACTGCACATGATATGTGAAATCTGTGAAAAGCATGCACACTATGATCTGTTTCTCTTACATTTTCTTTAGGCATTCACTCAACAAACATTCATATAAACTAAATCCTGCTGACAGATATTAAAAGCAATGAAAATTGAATTACTACAATATGCAATTAAAGTGCATCTGTCACTTTGCAGAATGAAAACACAAATTAGACTCTCTTGACAGTTTTACATTCCCACATCATACACTTAGTAATTTTGTAGCCACTACTTCCAAAGTAGCATCAAGTTTCTCCCCTGGAGTAATTTGAAAAATCCAAATATTGTTAATTCTGCGCTTCACAAACACAGGGATAAGATTTTAATAGTTATCACATACACAGCTGTGCTGTGCTCCAAATGACAGCATGGTATTTCCAAAATGTGCTCGTGTTGCATGATAAAATCACTTGGATTGAAAACACAGCTTTTTTCTGCCAGACACAATACTTCGATATTTTATTTAAGATGGAGTAGCATAAACATGTTGAAAACACATTTCAGAAGTATTCAAAGGTGCTTTCAAAATTAAGAGAGCTTGTGCTTAATGTGCCAACATATATTTCCCAGCTACTTCATATTCTAGTGTGCGTGTATGTGTATGTTACTATAAATTGTAACAACTGGATTATGATTAATAACAGTACAACAGTAAATGAAGATGAGATAAGCTGGCCTTTATTGATTCTACAGTTTGGAAATTCCCATTATTACAGCAGGAATAAAATAAATAGATGCAACAATAAAAAAAATGATACAAAAGAAAAAGTCTGATATTTTCACATGCCTAGTAACAACAAATGAAACGGAATAGACCATAGTGCAGTAGTTACATGTTAACTGCAAATGAAGTCTTATGACGTGACATACTGCAACACCATTCGTGGTTAAAGGGCACTGGGTTTAAAATATACAGACCATCTCATATACAGGTACTCCTGCAAGCAGACACCTGGCTGGGGCCTTTCTGTGTGGAGGTTGCATGTTCTCCCTGTGTTTGTGCGGGTTAGGTTAATTAGTTAATCTAAGTTACCCATAGGTGTGAATATGAGTCCCAGTGGCTGTCTGTCTGTGTTAGCCCTGCGTCAGACTGGTGGCCTGTTCAGGGTGTACACGGCGTCTTCACTATGGTAGCTGGGATGGATGGATGCACTTTAAATGCATACGGAAGTAATCCAGTTTTCATTGCCTTTAATATATGTCTGTTGATTGAATGCCCAAGAAAAAGAATTCAAGAGAAACAGATAATGTCAGGTTCCTGTCAGCATTTTCAAATTAAAAGACTAGTCCTAGAGAGTGTGCAAAAAAAGGCACAATCAAATTTTTGAAGCTGAACAAGAACACACTGTATTTGTTATTGATCCAGTGAATTTTCACCAGGAGAAACACATTGGCACACATCTACACACACACAGTTTTCTTTAAACACACACAACAGGCTTTTAACTGCTCATTCTGTTCACTTGCTTTTATTCAGCCACAACAGCAGTGCAGAGAGACGGCCATCCTGGATGGCTGTGAAATGCTGATACCAATGGAAAAAGAACACTTCAAGCAGTTTGTGCCAGGCCCCGAGGAAGCCTTTGTTTTGCATTGTTTGAAAAGCGATGATAGTGAAGAGAAGTGCAAGAATGAATAATGAAAAGCTACATGTTCACAGTATTTTAATTACTTTCCAGTATTAAAACCTATATTTATATGTATCCCTGGCAACTACAATAACTGACAGTATTGTTGGAATAGAAACCACACTGGTGCCTCCCTTTGTCTTAAATGCTTGAATTGTTTAAAATGAGTTTAATTAACAGATACATCTGATGTCTCATAATGTATTGCGCTGGATTATATTTACACTAATAGGAATGGCAGTGTCCGTTGGTCAGCCAGGCCCTCATTTTAATTCAAACTGCAATATCTCAGCAACAGCTAAACACTGAGATGTAATTTGTTACATATCCCTGTTGTTTGTGTGGGAGTCTGCTGATCTCCTCGCTTTTCCTCTCGTGTCATCATGAAAAATATTATAATTTTAAGGTACAAATATTATTTATTTGTACCTTACTTATAACACTAATAATTATTTGTAATAATATGTATTTGTTATTTAAGTCAAATGAGCATAACAGAGTTTTAGTGTAGTAGCTCTTGGACCTCTCAGGTTGACAGGCTATTTTAACAGTCTTCTGATGTTTTCCCCATGTTTCTTAGTAACACAATGTCAGTTAAACCACAGGAATATCAGTCTTTCTAGTCAGGAATGAACCATTGTGAATCCATTTCACCTCTTTTAGTGCAAATGAAAGTGACAACATGTGCACTGAAGAAGGAACGAAAAGATACCCCCTAAAACGGGAATGATTTTGCAGGTGGTGGCCACAGACCATTACTTTCTCCTCATGCCTACTGACTGATTATTCTCTGGGTTTGCTTTTTTCCAGTGTCCTTGTCACTACTGGTAGCGTTAAAAGGTAGATGCACCCAATTCAAGTTAAACGGGTAGTCCAGCTCTTCAGAAATGGCACGGCTATACGTATTGTCACAAGACTGTTTGCTGTGTCTCCTAACACAGTCTGAGGAGCATGGAGAAGACACCAGACCAGGATATGGTCTGTTACACAAAGAAAGCTGGAGATGGCTATGGAACGGCATCAACCCAGCTGCAAAAGCTGCATCTGCTCCTTTGTTTATGGAGGAACACTGTCAGAGCCCTGCAAAATTACCTCCAGCTGCCTACTTGTGCAGTTCAGAATCTGAATTCATGAGCATGCCACGAGGTCCTTTAGTGGACAGATATGGATAGAGCAATAGTCTCTGACTATCACCTGTTAAACTAGTCCCTTCTTGTTGTTGGTTCTCATAAGCTCCCGTTGTCACTTTCATTTGCGTCAAAGAAGGCTGGAATTGATTCACAAAGGTTTGTGGTTCTTGACATAATGACTTTGTGTTATACGTAATGATTGAGTGTTCCCTTTATTTTTTTTGAGCAGTGCATAATCTCTGATTATACTGGGCTCTGTCATTACACTACCTTGGTGAAGGACTGGGTGAAAAATACAATTACACAGTGTGCGCAGGCGTGTGTGTATGTAGACGTGTGCAAATGTGTTTCTGCTGGTGCACATGCCTTTTCCTAACAGTATGTGTATCCAGTGAAGTGCCAAATGTAATGAGATAAATCTATCCATTAGGGTCCCTTAACAAGACTAAATCTGCAGTGCTGTTAATGAGTCGGTGCTCCATCAGCCGTCCTCAGAGAGCCGGAGGACATTCTGACTAAGGCTGGACGACCCCGAGGCATGCTGAATCAGACCCTCTAAGCCAGTAAATCCACGGCTCCAGCTGTTGTATTGTAGACCTTCATTATTTAGCTGTCTGTCCTTTTGGGAGAGACTTGAAGTTAGTAAGCAGCAACAACTTACAGGGACTGAAGTCATGGCCATCCCCGGAAACACTAATCATCTGTAATCATTGATCTGCCATTACTGGGCCTACTCATTAGTCTGATGGAATAATGCTCAGCACTGTGTTTTGACTAGGTTATTATTAGCCTCTCAGTTACTGCTGTAAAAAACATGAACTTTCTGCACTTGTAGTGTATGCTGTGGAACAACTTCTAGCTCATGTAGCAGCACAGCACTTAGACAATTTCAATGAAACTGGAGTTATGAAAATAAAGTGTTGTTTCCTCCAGGGAGCCTTTTTCCAGTAAACAAGTCCATCTACAGCCATCACTGTCACACCATCAAGCTACTGTCTGTTGACAAGCTGAAAATGGACGAGGTGGGCAAGCATTTCAAATAAAAAGGTGCTTCGGTAAACTGTTAGCCACGTAGAAGTACTATAGAGGGCTGGTGCGGGATAACTGGATGCAACTGGGACCCTGCTAATTGTTTCCTCCCAGCATCATAGTAGTTGTAAGTGTAAGCATTGAGAGAAGCCCTCGATCATAAGCTGCACTATATGTTTGACAGTGCTTAGCCTGCTAGCATGTTTCTAGTAACGATGCTGCAGTTTTGTTGCTTAGCCAGTTAAATTCGATGAAATCAGCGAGTCCGCTTCACAACATGAAGTCAGTTTCTCTGATAACAATTTATTTTACAGACTTGAAATTTTTGAGTTTTTTCAAGAATTACACATGGCAGCATTGATTTAAATAAAAATATGAGCAATCATAGTATTTGTTGCAGTTGGTTGTGCAACACTGTGATTAAATGTAGAGGTAACAACAAGTAACAACAGGACAATGATGCTCTTATACAGCCTTAATGGCACATTTCATAACTTGAAAACCTACAGAGTGAAAAATAACAGCTGAGTGACTTTTCTCTCTATCTCTAAGATGGAAGAGACAAAATTGTGTGGCTTTTCCAGTGACAGATCAGATTTGTGGTCCACAAAGGCTTTGATCTTAAGGCTTTCTGACAGGCTTTAATCTGAGCAGACCACACACACAGACACACACGCACATACCTTTTCACTGAAACCACCAAGTACAAAACAGAGTCACTGTATTTCTCGCCTGTCTGTTTGGGAAAAGTCACAATGTGGATGGCGCGATGGCAAGCTGTTTTTAAGTGCTTAATAAATAACAAGAAATTGCTTTTACACAGTGAAAATAAAATGCGAAGCCATGGCAAACACATCTGTTTCCCCTTACGCACAAATTGTGGTGAGTCACGTTGTACTGTAACTCTGTGATTGAGGCTGTTGTCACAAAGGTCACGTTTTAAATGTGCCTGCCGCACCTTCTCTTAGTTATTTACACTGCATTTGCTGCCATAGGTGCAAATCTCTTCTACTGAATTCATATTTCAGAGAGAAATGCTGGAACGTGGGAAGCAGAGGACATTTAATGACATTTAAACTACAGATAGAAAGTAGGGGTAGAATGAAGAGATGTTTTTTAATGATTTCAAAGCAACCTTGGTGGTATTATCAAAATATATAAATGAAAGATGGCTGTCTCTAATCTAAAAGTACCACACACAAAAAAATATTGTTCAAGATTTAAATGGATGATACTCAAGATCTGATGAGTAAAACACTGTATTTACTCACCACACTGAAGAAAAGATGGATATGTGGGTTTTCGATCCATATTCACCACCTCTTTATGGACTTCTGATTAAAAAGAACACACTAATAATACTTTTAATGAAATTGCTGATGGTTTTATTTGACAGGTGAGTTAGGAACTCTTGAGATGGCTTTACTAAAAGCGCCTTCACTAAGCTGCCTGTCCCCTGAAATAACTGATATTAGTTAATTTAGAGCCCTGGTACATCTCTGCCAGGTTGCAAATCCAGACCAATTAGTGTCACCTCAACAGATGAGAACATGGAGCAACACCTCTCTGTCTTGAGGGCCTTCTCCTTTCAGCTGTTCATAATGCTATTAATTAGAAAGCCCTTCTTGAATTAGACAGCACACTGACCTTGATTAAAATAAGGCTCACTGGTGACACATAGCACACAGACTGAAACAGTCTACAGTGCATACTAAGGTAATTCATCACAGATCAACATGTATGTCAGAGCCAAAGGCAATTGAGTTTTTGATTGGCGGGACTGTTGGCGTGGTAAAAGGCAGGTGGCAGGCTCGTGACCTTCATACAGTCCAGACAAGCAAAGCCGCAAGCTAAAGCAAGTTAATCAAAAGCAACAAAGAACAACTTTTTCAAACTGTCTCAAAATAACAGGATTAGAGTTTATCTCTCAACACCAGTAATTTAATGCTGGAAGCATTTAATTTACAGTCAATCAGGAAGCACAACCAAAAATAAAGAACTCTAATTCCAAACAGGAAAACACATACGAGCATTATTGCTCATATGAGAGAGGGCGTCATGATTTTAGTGACACACAGGAGAGAAGTCTGTTTTTCTCTTCTTTCAAAGAGTGACACTCTCCTGTGGCCTGTTGGAGCTGTGAGGTGGGGAGAGTCTTTGTTGTTTGCAGAGTCAAAGGGCAGAGCACTGAGCTTTAAAGATGATGATAAGAAGTCCCCTAGATGAGACAACACAGTGATATTTGGCGTAAACAGAAACTAAAAACCCACTTTTGATATATTGTATTGATCATTTCTGCACTGGTATAATATATATGCTAAAGTCACACATATAACAAGAAAATCTTTTAAAGATGACCTTTTCTCCCTGTTGCAAAAGATGTCACTTAAGTTCATTTAAATACAAGTCTGACCATCATGCATCTGAAGTAAAAGTCATCACACAGAATAGATTTTTCCTACTAGTAACCAACGCAACAGCCAGAAGAGGATATAATGAACTACAAAAGAACAAATTAGATTTAAAAAAAAAGATAGGAAAAAACCGGCTCTGCATATCAATAAAACATTTCAATCTTGAAATGCTAAAGAGCTCCTAGATCTCAAATATATTAATATGGCCACACAGAAGCTTCAGATGACTCATCGTATCATAACTGTCTGGGCTTTAATGCAAATCAGCCACATCTGCCTCACACGTTTGAGCTGATATTCTGATTTATAACTGCTTAAGCTTTCATGCGCTTGTTTTATTATTCTCTTTTATAAGAGTTAGAAACAGAACATTACAGATTAGTCAATGCAGCAACTGCTTGAGTAATATCCATCCATCCACTGGCTCATCCAGTGGTATATAAAGATGTTTTTAAGCCAACCAAGATAAACAATCTCTCTAGTGTCCTGAGTCTGGCCTGGGGTCTGTTCTCAGTGGAACATCTCACCTATGAGGTACCCGGGAGGCATCTTAGCCAGATGAAGGTTGTGTGCCTCTACTTTGAGGCCCTGTCGAGCTCCTCCACCTGTCTCTAAGGCTGAGCCCTGCCACCTTTCGGAAGAAGCTAATTTTGGCTATTGCTTCTGCAAACTGTGACGATCCGAGTGAGTGTCTGTCTTTGCACATGAGGGCAGAGTCCTGGTTCCTCATCTGCTCCCATGTTCCTGCCTCTCAGCCATTGACAAAATCGCTACCTAGAGCTAGTGACTATAGTTGAGGGTGGAAATGTATACTGACCTGTAAGTCAGCAGCTTCACTTTAACATCCAGCTCTCGCTTCGGCACAACATGCCAGTACAAACGATCTGTCAATCTCCCAGTTCACCCTAAACTCACTTGTGAAAAATACTGAGATACCTAAGCTTTTCAGGTGACACTCAAAGGTGGAGGGCTTGGCGGATCCAATAACCAGTTATTGAAAGCGGCTTGAATAACAGTCACAACATTAATTTCAAAGAGTTCCCCAAATCCTAGAGAATGACAAGCAGTCGTGAGATATCAGCTAGTGTTCCTCTGCCAAGAATATTAGGGAAAGCTGTCGCTATTTTCAAGTGAGATGAGCTTAGGAGACACTGGTCCCTGCTGCTTTGCAATAAATACAGAACTCAGCTCGTAATAGATTATGTATCTACTTCTCCAAGTTTCACCTGGTGTGAATGATAGTGCGTAACTGCCTTTTCATGCTTTGCCAATTTAACTGATAACCTACAGCAGCATGAGAAGCCATTACAGGTCTCAGCTCAGACAACACATAACTGTCTTGTTTCTGTTTGTTATTTGTTTATTTTCTGTTTGTTACATACAGATTTCAGAGTTGTGTGATAATTTTCAGTTATTTAAAAGATAAATAATGTATGATTGCTTTTAAATTTTTACAATATTTGTAAAATAAAGTTGTTGTTTTTTAACAACTCTTCCTAAATTGTCAAAAATGAACATGCTGATTTTTTTTTTTTTAAAGGGCATGATGTGATATATAAAGGATTGCAAATGAATATAATTACTGCCAGAGACGAGGGCCAGTTTGCAGTATTGTGGAAACCACACCCACTGGTCAGGGAAAAATGCTGAACAGTGGTCTGAGGCCACTAAAAATATAGCTTTTAGCTAGTTGAAAATATTAGATTTTTACTGTGTCACAAAACCTTGTATTTTAACAGGAGTGTGTAGACTTTTTATATCCACAGCACCTGAGGCACTTGTAATAACACAGCCTTCCCATTGATACACATTCCACTATAACTCAAGATCTGCGTTGTCAGTGTGTTTTAGGTAAACTTAAAGAAAGACCTAGCAGCCTAAAACATGCAGTTAAATATTTGATTTATAAGCAATAAAATGCTTCCTGCATACATAGAAATGATGAGTATAAGAATCTCATTTTTTCTCATATTGTTTTGTCTGGATGCCTCGCTCTGTCTGACTCAAGTACTGTGTCAGAAGCTTTCTGAATGTCTTTAGCTTTTTACACACTGCAAAGTGAGCGCAGAGCCATGAGCTGCTTTTCCCTCCAGCCTGGGTGGGACCTTTATGTGCTCTCTCTTTATTTGCAATGGAAAATATAGGCCTGTTTTTCCTTTCCTTGTTGCCAAATGTATAAATTAATTTGACAAAAAGACATATATACACATATCTATTCACTTAAAACCAGCGCTTTCACTCATGGCTGGTTACACATACTGAAGTTTAAATACTTCCTTTTTATACACCAAAATAATACCAGAAAATAACAGAAAATAACTTTCTCATAAAAATATTTTCAGTAATGAAAATACAGTTTGTTGCGCTAATTTTACATGGGATTTTGCCTTTTTCAAGTGCTTTTAAACATTAAATTAGGAACATTTTAATGTGATCAAACAATGAAATTACCTATAAACAAGGTCAATGAATGTGGCAATATGAATAATAATACTTAAATGTACAGAAATATACAGTCAACAGTTGGTTTAAATAATAATGGATCGCATGCCCTGGGACAGACTGACAGAGGCGAGGCTGCCATCGGCCCCTCTGGCCATCACCAGTAGGTGAAGTGTCTTGACCAAGGACACAACGACCGAGAGTGTCCGAGCCGGGGCTCGAACCAGCAACCTTCTGATTACAAGACGAACTGCCAACTCTTGAGCCACGATCGCCCTAAATAGCAATAATATTAACAATTATTTGATGTTAAAAAAGTTTATAGGAATCATTTCATATATTTTTCCATAGCATAGTTCAATCTTTCAAATAACAGACAAATATTTGTGAAATCATGATACATTTGTGAATGTATTTTAACAATCTAAATATGCATATGTACAGACAGATACATTTAAAAAACAAGAAAATTATGTTTTATTACATTACAGTGATTTTACGTTAATTTACATTTGAAATGTGAAATCAGTCTATTTATGTAAATTTAATGATATTCTAGAAGAACAGAACTGTAAAATACTTTTATATTAGGACTTTTTCTTACAGTGTAACTCTAAGCATGAATTATGGTAATAAATACCTTGTTGCAAATGTGGCTAAATTTTCCCCTGAACTATAAACTACAACAGATTCTCAATTCACCTAGAGTTAGGATATGTAAAGTGCTCCCCTATTATGCACACAAATGTATGCTAATATCATGTAAATCACCTGACATGGTGCATCAGTAGTGCTAAGGCTTTGATTTTGCTTGTATTTTTCAGTCTCGGTATTGAGTCAAATATGTGTTCATGCGCTCTTTGGGTTTTCCTTTCTTTTTTCTGCTGTGTAACTACTGCACATCAGGATGCAAAGAAAGTTGCCAACACTGACATTGACATAAAATTGGCTTCATGCATTTATGGATGCATTTCAGCCTTTATATCACTGTTATGGCTTGGGTCTATATGTTTGCCAAGACCAGCCCTATAATGTGTTTATGAGCAATGTTAATTCATTTTTATTCAGCTGAGTGTTTCCCCATTCACTAATAGACAAGGGCGCATGGAGCATTGTCTTCTGCAAACAGTTCATTTTTACATGCCTTTCCTTTGAGTGTGTTATATCAGCATCTCTTTCTATCTGTTGTGCTTTTGTTATTTTTGCAGCCAAGAAGAGCTGGATACCTTCCTCTTTCCATAATCTAGGTTTTGTGCTCGTGGTATTCCTGAAATTTTGTTCAGCATGTTCATCCAAAACATGGGAGTCAAAAATTCTGTCATGTTTAAACCTTGCTAATATTTATATTTAGTCACAAGTCTATTTTGCAGGATTACCTGTTGTTTTCTGTTTGTTTACATGTCATGATTCATTATGCCAACTTGTATGTGAGAGTGTATTTCAGTATTACTGTTGAATCTTGTCACTTTCTATTTTAGAGTTACCTTGCTGGTTATGCCAAATTTCACATTAATGATATGTTAGAGAACCCAAACAACAGTGGAACCCTGACTTACGAAATTAATTCGTTCCCGAGGGTCTTTCGTAAGTCGAAGCACCCATTGCGCGTTTTCAGTGAGGCGATGCTGAACGATAGGCTATAGGCTAATTGCTAACTAGAACAACAATACGTCGTTCAAGTGGAACAGCGAACTGCAAGTACGGAAGCCAAGGGTTTGTCACATGATTCGGAAGGCATTGTGGGCATTGTAGGCTCAGCCAATCACAGCCAGCGGATTTCGTTATTCGGGCATTTTGCCGTAACACGGGCAGAAATATTGCCGTTCAGCGCCTTCGTAACTTGAATTTTTTGTGAAACGGGGTATTCGTAAGTCGGGGTTCCACTGTATATCATTTAACCCCTTCTTTTGTAGTTTCCTTAAGGTTCACATACGTCTTTCTTTATTTATGTTCATTTTTAAGATTTGAAAAAAGCACGGCATTTTTTCCTGGAAACCAATATACAGGGTGGCCATTTATATGGATACAGCGTAATAACATGGGAATGGTTGGTGATATTAAAGTCCTGTTTGTGGCACATTAGTATATGTGAGGGGGCAAACTCCTCAAGATGGGTGGTGACCATGGTGGCCATTTAGAAGTCGGCCATCTTGGATACAACTTTTGTTTTTTCAATAGGAAGAGGGCCATGTGACACATCAAACTTATTGGTAATGTCACAAGAAAAACAATGGTGTGCTTGGTTTCAACGTAACTTTATTCTTTCATGAGTTATTTACAAGTTTCTCTTTGTTCACAGCCATTGACATGTCGAAGAGGTTAACACGTGAGGAGCGGATCGAAATTGTGTTGATATCTGGTGAACGCAGTAACCGGGTCATTGCAGCAGATTTCAATGCAAGACACCCTACGAGACCACCCATCTCCCATGCTACAGTTAGCAAACTGCTTGCTAAGTTTCGTGAAACTGGTTCAGTGTTGGATTTGCCAAAATGTGGACGCAAGAAAACTGTCACTAATGAAGAAACATCAGTGGCTGTCCTAGCTTCATTCAGCAAGAGCCCACAGCGTAGCACTCGCCGCATGTCACTGGAGAGTGGCATTAGTCGAACATCCCTTCGGCGGATATTAGCTACTCACAAATGGCACCCTTACAAACTCCAGCTACTGCAGCATCTCAACGAGGATGACCCAGATCGGCGCACAGAATTTGCAGAATGGGCAAAACAAAAATTGGAACAGGACCCTCAGTTCACGCAGAAGATTTTGTTCAGTGATGAGGCAAACTTTTATGTGAATGGTGAAGTTAACAAACAAAACCACCGCTATTGTTTTTCTTGTGACATTACCAATAAGTTTGATGTGTCACATGGCCCTCTTCCTATTGAAAAAACAAAAGTTGTATCCAAGATGGCCGACTTCTAAATGGCCACCATGGTCACCACCCATCTTGAGGAGTTTGCCCCCTCACATATACTAATGTGCCACAAACAGGACTTTAATATCACCAACCATTCCCTGTTATTACGTGTATCCATATAAATGGCCCACCCTGTATTAGATTAGATTAGATTAGATAGAACTTTATTAATCCCTCGGGTGGGTTCCTCTGGGAAATTCGATTTCCAAAAAAACACAGCACCGACAGAAGTTACAGAGTTACAGAATATTTATATATATAACACACACACACACACACACACACACACACACACACACACATATATATAAATACAGAGACAAATATAAATAAAATATACAAAGGGGATAAATAGAATAAATAGGAATAAAAAATAAAAATACAAGTGAATTGCACATTTCAAGTATTGAGTCTATTGCACTGTTGACTATTTACAAAAGTATTGCACAGTGAGGTGAAGAGGCACTACAGCTTAGTTGTTCCCCCCTCCTTTGTCCTCCTGTCTCCCCTCCCTCTCCCCTCCAGAGAGGAGTTAAACAGTCTGATGGCGTGTGGGACAAAGGAGTTTTTAAGTCTGTTAGTTCTTGTCTTTGGGAGAAGCAACCTGTCACTGAACAGACTCTTCTGGTTGTTATATGGCCGTGTGCAGAGGATGCCCAGCATTGTCCATAATGTCCATGCAGTTTCTTTAATGTCCTTTTCTCTGCCACTGTCACCAGAGTGTCCAGCTTCATGCCGACCACAGAGCTAGCCTCCTGATCAGTTTTCCAGCCTGGATGAGTCCTTCTTTGCTGTGCTGCTCCCCCAGCACACCACAGCATAGAAAAGTACTCCAGCAACCACCGACTGGTAAAACATCCTCAGGAGCTTCCTGCAGATGTTAAAAGACCTCAGCCTCCTGAGGAAGTACAGTCGGCTTTGGGCTTTTTTATACAGGTGCTCTGTGT